CTTTCCCTCTGTGTTCACCATTTTGGTTCATTACTGGAAGATGGCGGTTCTGGCCAAAAGGGCTATCCCATCAGGATTTTTTTTTTAAAGACTTATTTTATTTAACTTTATTTATTCATTCATTTATTTCATTTTTTAAATTTGACCAGAGAGGGACAGAGTGAGAGAGAAAGAAAGAGAGGGAAAGTGAGAGAGCAAGCCTCCAGGTCCAGGACTTGAGCCGTGGTTGGCCATGTGGGAGTCCAGCGTCCTTAACCACCACGCCACCTGCCAGCCCCCCCATCAGGATTGAGTATACATGCACATGCACCCAGAGTGTTTTTTAAGTCAGTGAGGCCAGGATTTGAACCCTTGTCAGCCAGGTGGGATCTAGCTCCCTATACACAGCATTTAACCACTGTTCTAAGGAGCCAACCCAGATTACAATATTTTTTTCATAAATTTTTAAATTGCAGGGGACCAGCAGGTGGCATGGTGGTTAAGGTGCTGGACACTCCCACATAGTTGACCACGGTTTGAGTCCCAGACCTGGTGGCTTGCTTTCTCACTCCCACCCCCTCTCCCTGTGTCTCACTCTGATTAAATTAAGATAAATGAATGAATACATAAAATTAAATTTTTTTTTTTTTAAAAGAAAAAAATTTTAATTGCAACTTATACCATTTTTAGTAGTATACTCCATTCTCTGTCTTGGGGTTCCTTGTAAAGTTTTGCCTTAGTCAAAAAAAAAAAAATCTTGGGACCAGCAGATGGCATAATGGTTATGTCACTGGACTCCTCTGTAGCTGACTGCAGTTCCAGTTCTGAGGATCAGTCAGTTCTGAGTCTTGGGTAGTTCTAATTTCATGGTAGCCCACCAGATGTTTAAAAGGGAGGAAGAGACCGTCTGAGAGTCCGAATCTTTATAAACAGGGACGGGACCCAGTTGGTGGCATGGTGGTTAAGGCAGCTGTATCCCACATGGCCCACTCCGTGGCTGTGTGCGTGCCCAAGATCCCGAGAGCACGGAGGAGAAGGGATTGCGGCGTAGCCATCCCCCCTGGGTGGGGTGACTTCTCCATTTCCCCTCCTCTTGCTGTCTCGCTCTGGCGAGTGCATGTGCTCCATAGCAAATGAAAACAGAAACAGAGAACAGACGCGTGCTCTGGCCGCCCTCAGCGGGCCTTCAGGGTTGGGCAGGGACGGAGCTGTGCTCTCTGTGAAGCCTCGAGTCCTCCTACTGCCTCTTCCTCTGGAGCAGGGTTCTCGCCAGCCAGCCTCGGCGCTGCTGGTCTTCAGAACCGGATGCGTCTGGGTCCCGAGGGCCGTCCTGTGTCCTGCAGGGTCATTTCCGCATCTCTGGCCTCTGCCCACTAGTCATCTGCTTGGTGGCAACCCAAACGGTCTCCAGAGGTCAGCAGGTGTCCCCCAGATCAGAACCAGTGTCCCACAACCAAAACCGTGGATCCCCAAATTTGCTTTGCCCAACATATCCAAGCTTAAGGCCCACACAAGAAACCGAAAACGAACACCACAGAGTCCAAACCACTTTGGTCTCTCGCAAAATCATGTTGAAATTTGGGACTGGAAGCTATGCAGAGAGACCTTGGGGAATGGCTGTAAGTCTCCTATTTTCTTCTTTCCTTCCATCGGGTGCCTTGAAGGAAAGTTGGTTTTCAGGTGACAGGGTTGGCTTGCTCGGAAGGCCGGGAAGCACCGGGATGAATGGGCGGATTGATTCCGTGAGACAGCCCCGTCTGTCATCCCTGGGAGCCTGGGAGCCTGGGAGGGAGACACGGTAGTCTGGCTACAGCCGAAAGACAGGCCACGTGTTTGCAGATGATCTACCGCCGTGCCAGCCCCGCCACAGGCCCCCGTGTTTACAGACGGTCTCTGCCGACAGTTCACCGAGGACGGGCGATGACCCATGTCATCTCGGCACTGAGCCAGAACATTTCATTCTCAGTTACTTGGCTTTGTTTATGTCCCCATCCTGGTGTTTTGTTTTTCTCTTCATTGCCAGAGAAGGCGTGGGCTCACCAGAGAGGTGGGTGGGAAAGGGAAAGCCAGAAAGCACCTCCATGGAGACTAGTCACATCCGCGTCCCTCTGTCCACTGCGCCACGCTTCCGGGACTTCCTGCATGTGTATGAGTCTAGCATGTTTCTCAAGCCACCAGGAGGGAGTGGAGCCAGAGTCAACCATGTGGGATTCAGCTGTCTTCAAGCAAGGCTGGGTGGGGGGGGCAGCTCTTAATCTGTTATTTTGTTTCTGTTTTGCTTTTTAAATTTTGCTATGGGGGTGGGGGATAAAGAAAGCACCCACTAGGGCAGATGGTCACGCCGTAATCCCTTCTCCATTCTCCTCTCAAGATTTCGGGCATGCACGGACGTGCACCCCCGGTTTTTTTCAAGCCACCAGATCAGGGGCTTGAACCAGACATGTAGCCATGTGGGATTCGGCCATCCTTACCCCCCCCGGTGGCCCGCCCCTGCCATTTTAACCAACCTGATGTTTGACAGGCAAATAAAATGCTAGAAAAAAATGAAAAAAAAAAAAAATTCCTAATCTACCCGTGCATCCATCCACCCCTGTTACCAGCGGCAAACAGAATCTTGTCAGTATTTCCTCGTTCCCCTCCTGTGCTCTGCTGCTCAACATTGCATGTTTTCACACAGAGGTTTTAGAAAAAGTGAATAAAGGGGCCGGCAGATGGCATGGTGGTTACGGGGCTGGACTCCCCCATGGCCAACCACAGTTTGAGTCCTGGACCCACTGGCTTGAAAATTATGCCGGGCACATGTGCATGCATGCCCAAAATCACAAAAGGAGACTGGAGAAGGGATTATGGAGTCAAGAGAGAAAAAAAAAAAGCGAGTTAAGAGCCGGTATAAAAATAACTAGCAGCGTCCCTGGGTGAAAGTGCACTTTCTTCCTTCCCCTCGCCCCTCTGAAAGGCTCAC